TAACTTGGTATATGTACTTGTAAGTGCAACAAAGTCGGGGTATGTGGGCGATCGACTCTGTATTTGATTTCAAACGCAATATGCGCAATAATTATGCACGCCTAGTACTTTTGAGTAAGTAACATCCGAAATCAATTGAGAAAATTTTCAGAAAATTAAATTTTGTTCTAATCGATCATATTAAGGTCTCCTTTCATTTTAGAAAAGGCTATCTGGAGGGTTACTTCTGTGCGAAATGGCGGACTTAACATGGCTGCGATTTTTTTTTATTTCACGTCACTGTCACGCCGGTAATCCCGGAAGGGGTACGCAGAGTCCACCTAACTTCCTTATAGCTACTTTGGCCCTGGTCTCAATGAAACGCCCAAAGTTCAGGTTTGAAATTGTGAATGAAGTGATAGTTAGCTAACCCATTGCCTACACAATCACAAACCCAATATCCCAATAGTCGTCTTACACGTCATGTCCTACATAAACATGTGACCAACATGTGACTTACACAATACCACTACTAATAATAAATTGCAAAGAACAATTCCACCGATGTCGGCAGAGAACGGGCTCATGTGGCTTCGTACAATATTGTACGATAAACACCATTGCTCTGCCACGGTCTACGTCTCTACATTCTACACTACTTATACCTTCCATACATAATATATAAATTTTAATAAAAGTTGATTTCATTTTTTTAAATCATCTCGCTTAATATAATCGAGATGCCCAATCAACAACAAATAACTCAAACGCATGTACCTACTCTTACATCAGGCGTCAGTGGCATAATTGATTTAGGTGTCCTCCGAACACAATAAATCAACCGCTTATCTGTCCGTATTGCCACTCCATTGTCTATGCTCCTATCATCTGTCATAGGCCATAGACAGCGCCCGTTTATTTATTAGCCACTAACGCCTCATATTTTATTGCTTTATTATTATTGTAATCTAAATGGATTTTAGACTTTTATTTTCTGTCAATACCATATACAAAAATGTTAAAATTGAATAGGGATCGTTGAATTACGTTGGCGCTAAGGTATTAAACGTTGGTATTACATAATAGCTTAATTGTCACAGCATTTCGTCCTGAATTGAAATCCAAACCCAATGAAATTTTTAATTTACTACTTCCACTACTACTACCTACTCTACTCGGCGTCCGTGCTTCGTTGTCAACATAATATTTAATAGAAGATCCCAAATATTTTACTTATTTTACCACAATAACATTACAATGACAAACGAGCTAAAAGTCAACCTAATGGTAGGTGGTTACCATGGTGGTGCCCGTGAACGCCTGCGACGAAGAAAACCACAGATGCATTGTCTACTTCAGAGTACTGATACGAAAAACTTCTCAAACCATAATTAGATATACTTACCTTCCTATATCGTTACTCTTAAACCAGAACACAGCTTTTGGTGCACTGCTGCTTGACAGCAGGAATAGGAAGGTGGCACAACTCAGAGAGAGAGAGAGAGAGAGAAAGAGAGAGAGAGAGAGAGAAAAGAAGCCACCAATAAGATTAAAACATAAGCCAAGGCACTATTTGAGAGACAAGAAAACAAAGTCATAGGTTCATCAAATCCCACCTGCATATATAAAAATCAATTAACGACATACTATAAAATTTGTTGTGTATATTTGAGTGGGTCCTTGGATGGCTTAGATTCATAATTGGATAAGTGTCCAGGTTGCGCTGTTGTCGAAATCCAGAAATCACGCGTGCGATGGCCAGCGCGGGTCGCAAGTAAGTCATATTTATGTCACGTCTAAAAGACAAAATGCATGAAATGCGGTTACACCTAGGATTAACGCCTACAGCTAGACACAACCGATTGGCTTGCTTTACATTAGCTGTATTCGATTTATTTATGGCACTAACTAGGTTTACCCTTTCTGGTAAAATTAGGTGTAGTAAAGTCCAAATTATAATTAACAATTTCACTTATACGAACATTTCGATTGTTTAATTATTGTGTATTTTTCGGGAAAAGGAAATTTGTTAAAATAACAATGAATTCTGTAAATTTCTAAAAAAATACGAAAAAACACATCAAGCAATATCAGCGACAGTAGGTTAAGATGCGGCTGTGGCTTCTTCGGCCATTAGCCATTACCCACTATGTAACATAACATGTATGGGTAACTAACAAAAGTATATAAAATATTCGGACAAAATGATCGCTTATTCTAAGTTAATCCCGATAAACCTTGGCTTATTATTTCTAATGACATAACCCGTACACGACATGAATAAATCAAATACATATATAGTTTAACCAACCGCGCGAAATATATCAACCTGTTCTGTTTAATAAAATTTAGTAAGTTATGGCGCCTGTCACAATATTTCACTACTAACTAACTCTGTTAACTGGTATTAAGTCCGTCCTTTGTAACGTTTATGGTTAAAACAATAAAAAAATTAAACGTTGTACGCACCGCGGTAGGACCACGCTCTTACAGAATACCAGCGTAAAATAGCAGCCTAATTGTGCTGTGTTTCGTATGGTGGGTGTAGAGAACCGGAGAACCTTTTTGCTGGGAACGAGGCATTCCACCTTAGTCCTCAGAGGTGACAACGCATCTGTATTTTAATTCTTAATTGGGGATAAATGTAGATATCTATGGGCCACAGCATCCACTTACCATGAGGTTGGCTGTGTGCTAGTTTGTCACATGTATTCTATAGAAAAAGGTATATATAATATACACGGGTATAGAAGGCAATTAAACAAAATCAGTTCAAACAAGTCCCTAAGTCCCTATTAGCACTTCAATGAAGTTTATAAAAGATTTTTCGCTGTGGAAATACTGAGAGAAAAAAGAAATGTTTCAAAACTGTGCTAGTTGAATGGCTAACGGAAAGTTAAGCGTCGGACTTCGGAAGTCCATACCTAAAACACTACTGTCGCTATAATTATAACGTAAGTACCTAAAGTACACAGTGCTAAAAGCTAAAGTAGTGTACGTTCGTGACATTCCCGCATTATTAGGATTATAATCAGTGCGCCAATCTGTTTACACACGTTACTTGACAGCAGTTTGAAAAAAATTTAAAGCTTTCTGTTCGCGTGTTAAAGAAACAAATTAAAATTTTCAAATGTTTAATTGTTATTAGTGTTCTACATTATGATAACTTATAGATTAATTTTAGAATAAAATTAACTTTAAAACTTTACAGCACCCATGGACACTGCAGTAACGGAACATGATTAAAATACTTGAAACGTCTGGAATATAAAAAAATTCAACAGTGGTGAGCCACGTGGCGGCTTTTGCTGTGGCACGGATGGGCCGGCTCGAACCGGTATGGTACCACGAGCTCACAGAATACCAGCGTGAAATAGAGGTTTACCTCTACGTTTCGCTTGGTGAGTGCAGGTGGCCGGAGGCCCTTTTTACTGGAAATAAGTCATTCCATCTTAGTCCTCACGGGTGACAACGCATCTGCATTTTGATTTGTAATAGAGGATAGATGTAGATGTCTATGGGCCGCAGCAACCACTTACCATCAGGTGGACTGTGTACTCGTTTGTCACACTTATCCTATAAAAAAAAGTTACTAGGTATAATACCTATACGCGATAAAATACGTAAAACTTAGTTTCATTTAAATGTGTAGTGTTTGCGTGAAGATACGAAATCATTAGCTATAGATATTTTCTGCTGGTTTCTGCATCGGAAATATGTAAATAGTAAATAAAGTTCATATAATTTAGCGTTTATATAATACCCGAGATTAAAAAGAAACGGAAAAAATTGCTAAGTGCTTTATAACGTTCTCAAAGCGTCCTTTTATCCCCGAAAAGGGAGCATTAGAAAATGACTTTCACCTACCGATCGACCCCCAAGATAACAGTCTGGAGGCCCTTCAGAAACTTTAATCAATTCTCATTCTCGATTACCAGTCCAATTGGGAAATTTAATGGAATTTTTACATTTGTCCAACGTCGGAGACGTTCGTTATAAAAATCGTATACCTACGTCCTTAGCGTAATGCAATGTACACACTAAATTTACGTCCTGTGTAAATTTAACACGATTTTCGCAAATTGATTCCGTTTTCGAAGCAGTAAATTCAATAAAACGTAGAGTAAACGCTTCACGGGGATAATTTGAAACGTTTACCTAATCTGAAAGCAGCTACCGTTGGTGAGTGTAATTATTCAGAAAATCCTTTCGAGCGTGTTCAAATGGGGCAAATGTCCTAGCAAGGTACCTATATGAACGTTGTGATATTATATCTACACTTACTAATTTAATATATATGATTCTTAGAAATCACGTTTTTGTATTCGCCGAGCAAAACATCATTGATACTAATAAATATCTAGGGTAAACTACCCAATTATGGACACTTTAAGACGTCCGTCACAAAACGTTTAGAAAAAAATAGTTTAATAAACAATTGTTGTAATTTATATGTAGTTATTAATAGTCCGTCATTATCATTCTCTTAAAAATTGGCGATATTGTGCACAATATAATTACTATTTATGAAAAATGTCCATTTTTCTGAAGTTACCTCTAACTCCCTATTATTGACACACTATTTCCTATTAATGACACTGTACTATCTAAATATTGACACCTTGGTTCTCATGTCTGTTAATCATTAATTTTAACAAATTTATTGGGAAAATAGTAAATAAAATAGATCTGTAGTTTAGAAATTTGTAATAGAAATCTTAAAAATAAACAGTTTCATCAAAAATAACATTTTTCTCCTGTTAATCACTATAAAAGTATCAATTATTCAACATTACAATAATTAGCTGTTTGGAAATCACAAAAAAACAGCTGTATGAAATAAAGGTAAATATTTCTCTTCTTAGTCACTATAAAAATATCAACGAATCAACATTAGGTATAAGTTTAATTTAGTTTTAACAATAATGTTATACGGTAAAGATGTATGTATTACGATGGTTATTTATTTATTTATTAAACTCAGATCATAACTTTTCTTAAAAACTATAACAAGTTAGTACCTACTGAGAATTTTCTTCAAGTAAATTTTCGATATCTTCATCTTGCAGCGTTTTCTTATCTAATTTTGGTTTAACATTAAATTCTTTTGCAAATCGTTCTGTTAAACATAAATTATCTTGGTCACGAATCTTATCACCAATTTCCTTAGACGCTACATTCACTCTTACATTAGAACACACAGTCTTCATAGGTGTTTTTAAAAGTTTATAAGAGGCACTCGTTCTTTTTTTATCATCAAAATTAAGTTTTATTTTTACTTTTGCAATTTCTTCGGCCTTATATTCTGTAGAAAATATATGTTGCTCTAAATTGGTATCCATCATTATTGCCTTTGGTTCTTCACTATTTGCTTCCCTGTTATTAAAAGTTTCCAATCTATCTGTAGTTTTAATTTGTGTAATAATGTCGTCGGACATCACAATTACTTTTGTTTCTCCTTTCTTTTTGGTCTCTGTCTTTTTTTTAGTTAAAAAGTTTTTTGTTTTCTTAGTCTGTTCTTTTTTCAATATTCTCGCCTCTTTTCTTTTCTTCACTTCTTCTACCTTTTTTTGTTTCTCGTCAGCCTTTGACTTCTCTTTTTTTTGCCATTCGTCAGATGTCAATACAAACGAAACTCTTTCTGTGTTTCTCACTCCTTTCCTGACCGGAGTTTTTGCTAAAACTAAAGTGTCTTTTAGATTTATTTTTTTCATGGATCTTATTATTTTCTCACTTTTAGTTGGCATGATCCTTGGTGGAGAATTTGCAAGTGTAATAATATTTTGTACTGAGCAGTTGGTAAAAATATCGATTTTTTCTAAATCTTCTTTGTTAATATGTGAGATGTTAGTTCTATTAGGTGTAAATTGTAATAATGTATTTGAAATAACTGGTGAAGTATGACACTGTACTTCATGTGGAACTTCAAAGCAAGATAGCCCTTCTCGTGAATCATTCCAATCTTCCACAGAATCACATAAAATTACAGGAAGATTAGCGATATCGAAATTGGATTTTGGTTCTTCAGGCGCATTAAATATCTTTTGTTTAGCTGATATAGTCTCATTAAAGTCGTCTCCAGGTTCAATGGATATAACATCTTTTGATATGCATGCAGTAGCTCTGTTATTGGAAGTCTCAGATGAAATGGACTTAAGAAAAGATGGTGAAACTTCAAAAAAATCAAAAACTTCTTTCAAAATTCTGTCTTTTTCATATTTACATTCTTTAATCATATTGAGGAATTTACTTTTTTGTAACACTACATCTTTATTATTGCTTATCTTGCTTTTTATTCGTTTACCAAGACATTTATCAAAGTTTATATTGTCAGGATTCCACGGGAAAAGCCCAGCAGCGCTAAAACCATTTTGCAGTATTTCGGGACGAATAGAAATATTTATGGCATTTTCTAAAATCGGTGCAAATTCTAATTTTGTTAAAGCTTGAGATGGATTTTTTCTTCTCCACTCCATCACACTTTTTTTCCAACTATTTTTTAGTGGTTTAAATGCGGACACATCCGCGGGCTGTAAAATTCTTGTGGCGTTTGGGTAAAGAGCGATAAGAACGATTTGTAATTCTGAACAAAGTTCACTGACACTTAGTGTTACGTGTGTTTTATGTCCGTCAACAAACAGGATGACAGGAAATTTTGTTGCTGTTCGCGTGAGATATGGATGTAAAACATTCCTAACATAATCAACAAAAATGTCTGTTTTCATCCAACCGTTATCGCTGAGGCCAATACCCCAATCTTTAGGTACTTTTGTAGCAATTTCTTTGGGTAATCTTTTATTTGGGTAAATTATTAATGGCGGAGTTCGTTCTCCATCTGCTTTAAAGGTAAATAAAACAGTCAAGGATGCCTTGGCTTGACCTCGATCAATTTCGTAGACATTTTTGTCACCTTTTATGGAAAGAACTCTCCCACTCTTTGGACACAGTTGGAAGTTTGTCTCGTCACCATTTAAAATGCGCGAAGGGTCTTGGAGAATGTGAGTATAATTATTTATTTCTAAATAAGAATATATATTACGAAACCACCGTCTTATATCTTCTTCAGATACGCAAGAACTTGCATCAGTGACACTTTCTGGGGTTCTAATAGCCAAATCCTTATGTCTTTTCATAAAGAGATGATACCATCTTTCCCCTGGAACACCATCCTTAAATGGATTCGGTCTATTGGCCTTTTTTAAGAATTCAGCTACACTTGTAATCAGGTCTTCTTTTCGTCTTGGAAAGCCTTTTCTGCTATTAAGTTTGATCCAATTTACTAGATCTTCTTCCTCTTTTGCTGTCAGAACGGTAGGTGGACCTGGTCTCACATTTTTGTCTGGATGGTTTGTATGAAAAATTAGTGTAGTCCTAGGGACACCATACGTTTTTGAAGCCAATTTCTTGGACATCCCTTTATTTATTGCTTCTAACGCTAATTTAATATTTTCTAAAGAGTATTGCTTTCGTTTTATTGGAGATTTTTTCTTTTTATTAATCTCATTTAGAGAATCTTTGCCTTTCTTTAAACCAGGATTTGCTTTATCTTTGGCCATACTGTAAATAACAGAATGAAAATTATTTTTTTTTATATTTTTGAGCTAATACCTACCCTTAAATATCTTTTAAGTTACTGACAAAATAATTGATTGAAATTAATCTTTATAAATTGTAGTAACAAACTTATTATTGACATATTTATTTCCTGTCATTGACATGGTGTCCATAATAGGATATTAAATTATTGACACAGTGTCAAAAAATTGAAAAAGTAAGCCAGACGTCTTTAAATTTATATAAAAAATGATCCCTGTCGTTAAAACAAATATTTCTTATACAAAATTCCCATCAGAATAAATAATTATATGAATCCAAATATTGACATACTATGTTAATAATAGGTAGTGTGGTATATTTGCTTACCAATTATTGACACCCCTATTTTAATTTAACAATTTTCGAATAAGCAAAAAAGTGAGGTTATAGAAATGTTTATCGATTTTTCATCAATTCACAAAATATAAATATCAGCAAACATGTGAATGTAAACGACGAAAATCTATACTAAATTGTATGCACTTACCTTTCTGATTTTCCAACAAAATGGCGACTTTTTTTTATGAACACGGAGACGTTTGGTAAATCGACTAGTTATGTTCAGCTATACTTGTTAAAGAACCCAAACTGTATTGCTATAACAAAATAATTGAAATAGAGATGCGTTCACTTTAAACAACTTTGCTCCTATATTGAGCGTGAATCTTATAATTTTAATTTATCTGTAGAAGTGTCAATAATTGGCGGGGTGTCAAGATTAGGGCAGTTTACCCTATAATTATTACGAAAATGAAGCAAATTTCAAATAACATATCAAGTTAAAATCGACTTGCAGCGCCATCTCTTGACCATACTGTTAAATGTTCACAAATTCTCCGCACCACCTCACCCCGCACGAACGAATTGCCCTTCCCGTTCAAACGTTCATTCACTTGTCTCAGTCGGTCGGCTCAGTCAGTCCTTCTTCGCGCGTCGTTGCGTATCTACGTATCGAAGTTGTGTATTTACGTGATCATTAGTCTTGCTATTGTTACACAAACAATCGCATCAGCTGATGCAGTGATAAATCTTCATAAGTTTTAATAAAACATTATATTAAAAGAATAGTTGTAACAACGCAACGTGAACTTGTGTGAAGATTAAACAGAGAACATTAAAGAAATCGTCTTAGTCGAATGTAAAAATATACGCGTCGCAGAGAGAACCGTTCTACCGCGTGTGACTCCAATCGATACTTTTAAATGATAACATGGATTCAATTAGGTGTTGTTTTAGAAGACGGTGAGATTGTTGTGTGAGTGATTTGTGTTGTGCACCGGTCGCTCAACTGCTGCCTAAAGCGGTGAGTTACTTTATCGATTTGACGTATTTATGTGATAACGCTCTAGGATTTGTTTAAGGCGATAAGTATCGCTTGATGAGATAGTGAGGTTAAAAATACGCTGTAAATTGCTATATGGCAAATTTGCAAATCACAACGGTGTCGATAGGTCGAAAATCGCGTGACAGACGACTGCCTTCTTCCACCTGTTTTAGCGGCAAGAATGTCTTCAATATTAATTTTATGGGTACATTACTCTAAAAAACTGCGGTATTAAACTTTCCGAAAAAGAAGTTATGAATTCCACCGTGTTTTTTTAAATAATGTATGTTTGCTGATTATTTATCCAAAAAGTACGCTTTCACAGTGATTCCGCATTTAATTTAAATTTATAATTAAATAATACGATTCTATACAAATAAATAAAATTTAAGTTTCTGTATGTAACGTCAAAATTACAGCTTTTTATTAAATTTATATGAAAGTATATACGGTACTTATAACAAAAATACAATTTTTTAAATTTTTGTCTGTCTGTCTGTTTGTTCCGGCTAATCTCCGGAACGGCTGGACCGATTTTGACGGGACTTTCACTGGAAGATAGCTGATGTCATAAGGAGTAACTTAGGCTAATTTTATTTTACAAAAATAATTAGGGTTCCGCGCAAAAAATTAAAACCCTAAATTACACGTGAGCGAAGTCGCAGGGAACAGCTAGTATTAAATATGTAATTAATAATGCATAAAAATGTTGAAAAGTTGTTTTTATTGCTGTGTTAAAATTCCAATATTAATATTAAATAAACAATTCAACTCAAAGACTACATATTATTCTATAATACCTACACCACAATCAAAAAATAATCAATAAAAAAACAAACGTAAAAACAAAGACCGGTGGTAAGGATAGTGTCGAAAAATAATTATAAAACTCCGAATTCGGGACCTAGGTAACTATTGTATTTATACTTTTTAGTGTTTGATGTCGGTTTTTACTTTTTATTAAAACTTGAATTTTTTTACCCCTTCGAGTGGACTACGAAATATCACAATTTATAACGACTGAAGTTGAAAGAATGTCGTCAAAATAGTTACATACCTACATAAAAAATAATCATTTTATATATTTTCGTTTTTTCGTTCGTTTTTAATTCACTCCGACTACCTCTGAAATAATAACTTAAAAAATATCTATTAAATGAAAGAAAAATCATTTACATTGGTTCAGCCGTTTCCGAGAAACCGTGGAACACGTAAAATAAAATTAAGCATCAAATATGTACCTATTTCCTTGTTTTTTGAATTCCGTTTAATATAATTATTATTAATTACCTACCTAATGCCGCTATAAAATCATACATCTGTAAAAAGTACGTCTTTCATCTCATTCCGTTATTATTACGAAGACAAAAATGAGCTTACATCGTACATAAATATCTTATTTGAACGTACCTATGTACCTACCTATATTCAAAAGATTAAGTGAAGGCAAGATTACTTTTTCTAAAGAATCATTCTATCGTCACAATTTTCCTTATTTATCACGGCATAAATATACATATAATAATATTATATATTTTGTATTTAAATAAATTTATGTATTTGTGTAAATTTGTATTAATATATTTATATTTTATTTACATTTGTATGGTATATGGTGTATAGAATATCTTTTAAGACATATAACTATATTCTGGTTAATTCATAATTCCTTAACATATTTTTTCATTATTAGTTTATTTTAGCTGCAGCAATACCTCCCACATATTTATCTCCAGCCCAATGGTTGACTGGGAGAGAACAGAGAATGCCTTAAGGCATTAAGTCCGCCATATGTACGATTTTTATGTGCATAAAAGTTTAAATAAATAAAATCAATAAATAACATTGAGTGAATGGGCTTTTATGAACTTTTAAGGCTTTGTGTTTTACTATCATCCGTTAGTCTTCATCACCACTTATTGACTATTAGGTGTAATAGTAGTCAAGATCTGGCTTATTATCAGGTCCAAACATGTAGATAAATATATTGATTATTTCTTATGATAGTTTATAATATTATGTCTAATTAAATCGGCAATTCATCTGCGATTTCTTCAGCATTGCATATGTTCATAGCTGGCGGTGATCATTGAAGCTTCTCCTGTAAAAAAAAATATTCATCATAATCAATTTCAGCCTACCCAAGGTCCGCTGCTGAACATTATGCCTTATCCTTTCCATTGCCATGCCATTGCCTCATAGGGGTTTTCGCCATAGAAATCACGCTTGGCAGGCGAGATAGAAAACGCAGTTATTTTCAATTGTTAGCAGGAAGATGCTGCTGCGCATCTCCTGTTTCAGTTTCCCACTATCGCCTCTTAAGATTCCGTGACGATTATATGAGGTAGTGGACTTTCCTACGCTGTTACTACGCGGCGCGAAAAATCACGACTTAAAAAAATTACAATTCATATTAAATGACCAAAGCCGCACCGGACCTATAATGCTTTCGTAGCTGGATTTACATCATATTATTCCAACTACTCCGAATCTGTTGTGGCTGTTAGTAAAAATAAAACTGCTTATCCTCCATAAAGCCTCTTCAAAATCGCAGCGTCTACGTTTAATCCTCGTCTCGTTAGCAATTTGAAAGGAAGTCATAAATTTCTTCGCGCTAAAACTTGCCGGAAATGCAAAAAGCGCGAAGTGCGAGAAATAATCTCCCACTGGACTCCACTAGTGTTTTGCCCCGGTACAAAAATTACCGGTATAAATAGAACACTTACAGAAAGTTGAGAAATTTTTGATTTGAATTAAAAAGAAATAAGTAATCGAATCTTTTAACATTGCCTTTATGTATATTTCTTTGACACGCTTTGTAGGCCTTAGACTAGGCTTGATGATTTTATTATTATACTGGCTGGCGGCGCGTTGCTGCCGCAGAAAAAAAATTGTGGAAATATCGTTTTAAATTTGGAAGAGTTGTATTGTTTAATTAAGAATGATAATACGTTCATTGAAGTTGAATGATATTATAACTTTCAAAGTCGGTACGATACGCGCGCCACCTACTGTAATTTAATTGTACTATGCCTATAACCTTCGCGCAAGTGCCAGCAATAAGTTGACAGAGTTTTAGCACAATCTGATGAAGGGTATGGATATGGTAGGGCATGAAGTATGAACAAACAAACAAAAATTATTTTTTATATATTAGAAGATTAATTTTATATAAATTGTGGAAGTGATAATAGGTGACACAATTTTCTCCTTTCAATTAACTTGTTTACGCAGTTAAGGTTTTTTTTTAAATCATGGTTTTAGTCCTGAAGCTGTTACTGTTTTAATGTTACGATAGAAAGAGTAGATCCAGATAATTGTTTTGTTTTTTTAAAAAAATAAAATTCCTTAAATCTTAAAAATATGTACGAGAGTATCTTTTATGCATGCATTTTAATACGATGCTGATTATTAATTTTTAAAACATTTCAGTTTGAAACGTGCGAAAAAAAACCAAAATTTATAATGAATTATTTATAAATGATTACCTATTTAAAGAAGTTTTAATCCTCTTCAAGTAGCTCATAGAACATAAACATTCTAATTTTAAACCACACGTTCGTATTTTGGGTGACTTGAGTACTAATGGACAAAAAAAATTTCAAATCGATCATAAACATGAAATAGAATATAAAG